CCATCGCGCAGGTCCAACCATTGTGACATAAGGTGTGATTGTACGTATAATGATTTCAACCACGGGCGTGCGGTCGTGATTGTATCCATGTAACGTGCTACCTACCACAAAGGTTACTTTAAACGATCATTATGGTATATTAAAATGCAACAAATTTATTGTATATAGCCATGAGTTTATTATAAATTATATGGAATGCTTGTTTCGCCAATGCTCACTAAACATATAACCTACCAATCTGCACTAGAAAATTATAATATGATAAATTAAGTTGTATTAGAAGAATAAGTACACGTTCAATGCTTGACAAGAGTTTTTCAACTCCTTATCTATATTTTGTTCTTTGACAGTAAGAACTTGGTTTAATGATCCTAGCTATTCAACAACCCCTGCCTTCAACTCTAGTTCTTTTTGAAAAATATTATTTACTTTACAAACAAACTTAGAGATGGAGAAAGGCATGGTTGAAGATCTAGAATCACTAAACCAAGTTCTAGCGGTCAAGGAACAACATGCAGTTAATAGTGTCAAGAATTCTTGTCAAGAATTGAACGCGTACTTATTTTCTAATACAATTTTATCTATCATATCATAATTTTCTAATGCAATTTAGGAAGTTATATATTTGGTAAGGGATTGGAAAAACACTCAAACCACATAATATATAATAAACTCATATTTTAAACAGACATTAACAACAACATTCATCAAAATCATTAATCAACAAAAAACAATAACAAACAAACATGATACAACAAACATATCAAGGCATAAAATGCTTCAGAAACATACCATACATGTCAAGTCCTATAATGGCGTGTCAACAATGAAAAAATGATGAAGAAAAATTTAGACCAACAAACTTGTGTATATTTTGAATGAATTTCATTCTGGATCTTTGACACAAGTTTTACTGGCTAAATTCATCTTTGTCCTCTTTATTGCAATAAACATCCATACCTACAAGAGGAAAAAAGAAGAAAGTTCAAACATTATGAAACAAGATATTGAAACATATTTTGGAAAAAAAACTACAGAGAAAACGAACCTGTAAATACCCATTAGCTAAGACTTGTTGTTATGGTTTTGTTTTATGGTATCCATATAAGAGAGACGAGTAATAGAGATGTCAGGGTTTGGCTTTGAGAGATGAGTGAAAGAGTTGTTAGGGTTTTCTTTTGAGAGAGACGGTTATTATATACTGAAGTGATAGATGATTTCACTTATATATATAAATAAATATCACATTTCATCATAGTTGGATATAAAAACTGTGGTGATATACGTGGTCAATAACATTTTTTATCACGAGAAATGGCTAATTGTTGGTGATGGGATTCAAACCATTTCACTCAGTGTACTTTTCACTATAGTTGCTACTTAGAACCGTTGTGACATGTCATCTAGTAAATAAAAAAAATATGCGCCCGAGATAGATCTATTATCACGGTTAACATTATGTTCGTCGTAATATTGGTGTTACGAAAGGCATGTTTTGCAGTAGTGTATGAGTGTACATCTTGCTCTCCCAACATTCAAACTCTGTGGAATCTCCACTGAAAGTCGGAGGTCTAGCTGTATAGTTATTCTTTTCAGAAGTACTATAGTCAGAGTTTATAACACCAATGTTTCTAGGACCAGAAGTTCTAGATTCATCATAAATGTTTTTCTCTTAGGATTTTTATCTATACTAGTGTTAAGTGTTAAACACATAGACTGTGCTCTAATGGCAACTGAAGGTGAGAAAAACACAAGAAAGGGGTTGAATTGTGTTAGTTATTTCTTTTATTTCTTAGAATATCTCTTATCAGATTATGAACACAAGGTTTAGATTTTGAATCAGAGTTAAGTGATTAGCAGCAGATAAGAAGTTCAGAGGCAGAAAGTAAAGAATGAGAGACACAAATGGTTATCCTGGTTCCTCACACAAATTAAGAGTAGTACCGTCCCCTTGTAGTTACAAGATATTTTTACTATACCCAGAATTATTATAATTTCTCAATCATAAAGCAAGAGACTTCCTATGCTCAAACACACAAGTAAGATACGTTTATGCTTAAGCACACAAACAAGAGACTTTCAATGTTCAATCATATAAGTAAGAGACTTATATGCTTAAACACACAAGAAAGAGACTTCTTAAACTCTAATTTACAGTTAATAGAATGTGAAAAACTACACTTGGTATATAATCAGAGGTGTAGACAAAATACAACACATAAAGACTCTTTTAGACTTAAGAACTTCTAGAATATACAAGAGTTAAGAAATTCTAAGTTAAACTTGTGCTTCTTGTTTTGACATAGTAACAATTCTTTGAATGTCAATGGCTCATTCTCATTATTCAAGTCTTCAGCTTCTTATATAAAGATAAAGAAAAGAGCCGTTAAAGAGATTGCACAAGAGAGTCATTGAGAAGCTTGATTTAGAGATGTTGAGATGTTTCCTGATATGATTAATATCGTAGAAAGTTTATTTGAAATTCTTTTTCTACAAAAGGAATTATATGTTCAATCTCATCTGTCTTCGGTAGACTTCATGGTTAAGTCTTCACGAGATCAAAAACCTCGATCCTTGCACTGACTAGATTTTTAGAGTCTGAATCTCCAGAGGTTGATGCTTCAGAGTCTGGGTCTTCAAAGTATGATGTCAATCATAGTGTGGATCATCAGACGCTTATGTCATTTAGATTATGGATTACCAAAGGCTGAATATTCAACTTCTCTTTGAATGTTCATTCTCAAAACAATACTAAGTTTTCTTCAAAAAAATTAGTCTAAGATCCTACACACTTGAACATTTATTAGTATACCATATTGTTCTTTAAATACTTTGTTGTCATCTAAACCTTAGAGATATGGTACAAACAAAATTTGTTCCAACAATATGCATTAAACATTCTTAACATTCTCATCAACAACCAACAAATAAACTTTTAAGGTTTAGACAATAAACATCATTAACAATAATAACAACATAATCATAACATATCTCAACAAAACAAATAAGATAACTTCATTAATATTCTCACCACCAACAATAAATAAACCTATAGGGTTTAGGCACTAAACATCATCATCAACAATAACAACAACATATGCACTAAACATTCATTAACATTCTCACCAATAAAAAAACAAATTCATCTTTAAGTTTAATTTGAAACTAAACATCAACAACAACAATAACAACAACAACATGATCACAACATATCTAAACAAAACAAATAAGATAACTTCATTAACATTCTCACCAACAACAATAAATAAACCTTAAGGATTTAGGCACTAAACATCAATAACAACAACAACATAGACACTAAACATTCATTAACATTCTCGCCAACAACAACAAAAAAAAAATTTAAGGTTTAGGCACTAACACATCATCATCATCAACAACAATAACATAATCACAAAAACATTAACAACACTATATATCTCAATACCAAAACCTACAAATCTCAATAACACAAAACCATCAATACCAAAACATACAATATCTCAATAACATAACAACAACAACATAAACAAGCATATATCAATAACATTTTACTGTTACATGCATGATAGAGATATTTTACGTATCGAAAATATGATGAAGAAGTCAAAGAGGTAAATCATGCGAGTTTTGTCATTCCTTCTTGCAAATATCTTCGTGTTCCTCCTTCGTTTTTTGTTGCTTTGTCCGTTTAGTGAAGAACGATAATATTGTGTTTCGTTTCATGAGGCAATGCAACCTGAATAGACATGACAAGCTAAGTTGTGTTTCGTGAATAAAAATAAAACATTTCACTAACAGTGGTGATATCCCATTTATTAAATTTAAAAATTAAAAATTAAAAAAAATCATATCATCGTGATTAGTTTATTTGGCCGTAGTAAAATCTATATTATTTTTAGTTTAAAATAAATAAATAAAAATGTGTCCTTATAAAAAAAAGGCAAAAATAATGTCTAGGTCCTTTAAGTTATTTTAAAATATCAAGTTAGTTCTTTAAGTTTTTTTTGTAATGTTTTGGTCCTTTAAGTTAAGTAACTTTTGCGTCGTTGACCTTTTAAAAACTCCCAGTTGCAATAAATTGCAAACGCATATACCATTTGAACTGCTTTTTCGCGCTGATCACGAATATGCAATTAAATTTATTAAACAAGTTACAGATCATGAGAATCAGAAAAAAATTGACAAATACATAATGAAAAATCGTTAGATCCAACCAAAATACACAACCAAACGCAAATTTAATTACATATTCGTGATCAGCGTGAAAATCCAGTTCAAATGCTATATGAATTTGCAATTTATTGTAACGAAGATTTTTAAAAAAGTTCACGACGTAAATGTTACTTAACATAAAGGATCAAAGCGTTAAAAAATATGTAAAGAAGTTAAAATAGTTTAAAAGATTAAAATAATATTTTTGCCTAAAAAAAAAGGTAAAACATATCATCACAATTGAAATATTCAACCGTGATGAAATCTATCTTATATATTTTTTAAAAATAAATAAAAAAGAAAAATATCATTATAATATTTAAAAAATAAAAAATTTTGATGGTATGAGATTCAAGTCCATAAACTTTATAAAATTTTACTACGATTGTTTATCTAATCATAGTTATATATAAACTATTTTTAATTTAAAAATAAATAAAAATAATAGCACCTGATTTTTAATATGTCACCACAATTCTTCATTAAACCGTGATGAAATGAAAGTAGTTATTATTAATTATTAATTGATTAAAGAAGAAAAAAGAGGCCACAAACCATTCTAGATCACAAATTGATTGAAGTCCAGAAACAAAGAACAGCTAAATATAGAAAGGTAAAAGAGAGAAAGATGTATTATTAGAAAAAAATAATAAAATATAGAATCTCATTCTCATGGATAATTAACAATATCCATATGTTAGTACTAATTAAATACTGCTTAGCAAGTAGCCTTATATACTAATGAAGATTAATCTTATTAATCAAATACTCGATCTAGTACTATCTCACTGATGGTAAGAACGAAGAACAGCTCCACAAAAAGTGCAAACAATAGCTCTCCAAGATTTCGTATAAAACGGAACGTAGCAGAATCTTGTAGCCGTCTTCATATCCGCCACACTAGCACAGCCGCCGCACCGTGAGCATGTTCCCGCCGCTGGCTTGCTCCGCTGCATCTCCTTAGTCTGGTCCACCAGAAAACAAAAGCAGACCATTCTTCCTTCTCTACGCGGCGTTGTTTATTAATATTAAAAGTGTGATGGAAAACGAGAAGATCTGAAGTGGCTATAAATATATGAAATGAAATTGAAGCAGGCAACAAGGTAGTTGAGGCTCATAATGTTGATGAGTTTTCTTAGTAATGAAGATGTGAATTTTATGACACTATTTCCGTGGCATAAAGTGTGGTTTTAATGTTCGGTTTTTGTGTGTGGGTGGATATGGATTATAGATCCGTCAAGATGCATGAAATGGGTGGATAAACGGTTAAATTATTGACACGTGGAAATCAAAAATGATAGTTTAATAAATGTGATAAGGGGTTTGTAGGACCTGATTAGTAAGTAGGTGGCAGTTGGTTAGGTCAACTTGTCATCGTGCCTCTCTGTCTCCCTTTGCCCTGTAGTATATTCTTATTAAAATTACTATTCATCTGGTCCTTAAGAAAAGTCAATACTCAAATATACTAGATTTCAAAGTAATCATAAAAAGGCAAATCAAATGTGTTTGTAATTTTTTTCTGTAACTTTAATTTGAAGTATTATATTTATTTAATTGTTTTATTTGTGATTTTTTTTATTTGTGTTAAATTTGATTTTTTTTCTAATATTTTATTTAAAGGAATGTCAATCTTAAAATTTTCATAAAAAATTCAAAACTAATAAAAAGTTGAAATTTTAATGGTAAAATTAATTAATTACATCTTTTTTATTGAAATTGTCAAATCAACTCACCTCAAATTTTTATCTTTCCACTCCTTTCAAATTCAAGTTTATTGTTCCCATTACACTTTACACACTTAATATTTTATCTCACCTCAATTATAACCATTAATATTTTATTAGAGTATTATAAATTAAATATAAATTACTCAAATAAATATAAATTTAGAAAATATTGACTTTATATATTTTATGGTAAATAAATAGCAAAATTGTTGATTTTTTTTTACACTAACCAACTATTATATTTAATTTACCATAAAAACCAAATATTCAAAAAATTGTCGAAAGTAACCAACAAATCAACCTCGTGTCGCCAGATAAAATGGCGACATAGGCCATTCTTCATGAACATCGCCAGAGTGATTGACGACTCTGTTATGCAGGCAAGCAAGTCGCCATGGTGATTGGCGACACAAGCTATTAGGTTTGCCACATTTTAATTTATAATATTAATTACGTTTTTATTAATATTTTTTATAAAAAAATATTAAATACATATTTTAATAAATATTATAATTACCTATTAAATATATTAAGTTTATTATTAAATTTATAAATATTTTAATTACCTATTCTATGTAAATATTTTATGTAAATTATTTATTAAAATATTTAAAGAATAATAATATAATTAAAATCAAATATATAAATAAATATTGAAATTATTAATAATTTTAATTTTTTCATATAATATTTAATATTTTTATAACATAATTAGGTTTAAATAAAAATAATTTTAAATTAATTTAATAAATTTAGGTTTAATTAAAAATAAACTTAATTGTGATTATAATTTGTTGTTTTTAAGTATTAATTAAAAATAAGTATTAATTATAAATACAAAATAAAAATTAATTATAAATTAATTTAAATAGAAAATAAAAATTGATTAACCATTGAATTTTAAAGTGTATAAATTTTGTAAGGGTATTTAAGACATATCATATGGGGCACGTACTATTTTATTTTTCTATAAATACCACTACAAACACATATATGTTTTCACAACATTGTATACCAAAAGACTGAAGCGTTAGTGCATTTTGAGTGGAGTGGAGTCTAGAATGTCCGCATTTCTAAATCAACGTTCTTTGTCGTCGTCGTCATCAGCATCGGAGGAACCCTTTCCAACATTCGATCTAATGAAAAGAAATATCGTAGTTGTCTTTTCAGCAACAAAGCCTCCGTTGAAGGTGCTCTTGTGAAATACGCAGACGTTTGAGCACTTGCACAGGGAACTGAACCGCTGGCTAGAAGGAGATATTGGTCTGGGAGAAAAGATTAGGAAAATTGAGAGGTTGGTCGAGGAGACTGGGAGAAACGGAGTTACTCGAGAATGGAGAAAAGTGGAAAATGATGCGGGTGTCCTTGTGATGATGTTAACACCAAAGAAGATAAAGTTGATGGTCGTGATATCGTAGACGCCTTGGTGCAGTGTTCTGTTTTACGTCTTTACGTTGTTGTTATGTTTGTTTAATTTATGTGGCCTTGGTGCAGTGTTTTGTCTTTATGTTATTGTTATGTCATTTAAGTATGCTTATAATCGAATGAAATTTGCTATTAATCGAATGAAAGTTGCTATTGAATTAAAGGGACACGGTTACATATGAATATATGATCTGTTGCTTGATCCTACGTTAGGATATTTTGTACGATTGTGTCTTGGTTGCCGACACGAACTACACAATCTCACTAGCTTGTCTGCGGTATCTATCTCTGTTCGAATGCGCGTGCTGTTAGGCCGACCCTTTTTCTTTCTACGCATCAAGTCATTATGCCAAACAATTTCGCCTTCGTATTGAGGCCAATAGTCCTTCTTCGCCACCACCTGAAAGCTGCATGTGTAGACATTGCATAGACTTATCACTTGGTGAACTGCAGAAAGAAGGTTGGTTGGGTCCTGGCGCGCCTTTGAACATGCTGCTATGACATGAGAGCAAGGCATACGAAATGCTTGAAACTTTCCACAATCACACCAGCTCTTATCCAATTCAACACGGTAACATCCCCTAGGCCTTCCTTCGTTGTGATCAATAGACTCGGCAACATTAAACCAACCAGTTGTACGGTCAAAGATTATGACCACGTGTGTGTTGGCTTTGGCAGCTTCCTCTTTCATGAATTTCATTGAAGTATCGTTGTACAACTGACCCGATTGTAATACCGAACCCCACTTCGTACATCTGCTATCAAAGAGTGATCCTAGCCTAAAATAGGTTGCCTTGACCAAGGCAGTTATCGGGAGGTTTCAGATTCCCTTGAAAACAAAATTCATTGATTCGACGAGGTTAGTTGCCATGTGGCCCCATCGCACACCATTGTCGTATGCCAGCGTCCATTTCTCCTTATCAATGTTATCAATCCATCTTAATGCATCCGCGTTTATTAGTCTGATCTCATCACGGTAGTATTTGAATGTGGGTTATGTTAGTGCATATCCCGCGTTCACAACCTTCTTCCGTAGTGTCTTGTCTTTGATTTCCCGCATGAAATTTTGGGCAATATGCCTTATGCAGTAGACGTGGGTCGAGGGAGGATCCTGCCAATCGTTATCAAGGTTGTTGTATGCACTCTTGATTGATGGATGTAGATCAAAGATCAAACATAAGTTAGGTTGGGGAGACACATAAGAGCGAAGATTTTTTAAGAAAAAACTCCAACCCCTAGCAGTCTCCCCTTCTACTATAGCGAAGGCTATTGGAAAAATGTTGTTGTTCCCGTCCTGTGCCACAACCATGAGCAGTGTCCCCTTATATTTCCCGTATAACCATGTTCCGTCAATTTGAATTATAGGTTTACAATATGCAAACCCTTTGATGCATGTTTCAAACGCCCAAAAGAGTCTGTGAAAAATTCCATTTCCACCAACGCAAATCCCGTCTGGTGTACACGCAGGCATTGTCTCCAATATCGCAACAGTTCCTAAAGAGTAGTGTTTAAGAGCCACCAGGAATTTTGGAAGTTCCTTGTACGACTCCTCCCAATTCCCAAACACCCTTTCAACCGCTTTAGTCCTGGAAATCCAGGCTTTTCGGTATGAAGGAGTGTAGTTGTACCGTTGAACCATATGTGCAATTATGGTACTCACCTTGAAATACGGGTTGCCGCTAACGACTGACAGAATCTCATCGCAAATCAATCGAGAGCTGAGTTTGCGATGGTCCTGCATCGGATTCGAGATTATACAAGTGTGCGTCGGACCCATTGACCATATCTTCCAGGAATCGCTCCTCTTCTTGAAAGACGTTGTTAATCGGAACAGGCACTCCTCCTTACAATAATAGACCGTATACCGCGTCGGATTTGTCCAATCGAATCTATAATCGGCTAACAACTCCATGTGAAACTGTTTGATTGCCCGGACACAATCTTCTTTGGTACGAAACTCGTCACCCTCTTTTAGTTGCCCTTCTATTGTGTACTTGGGGTTGTAGAAAACATCCGTCGAGGGTTCATCGTCACCTAAGTCGAGAGTTGTCATGTGTTGAGGTGGGTAATAAACATTGTCGGGTGGAACCCCATCCTCCTGGTTGTTCACCATCTCGTCAACAGTGACTTCAGCTGCTTCTTCTTCTTTGCCAACGACATTGACTTCAGTGTGCTCCTCATCAGAATCGCAAAAAACTTGAGAAGAATCAAGTTGCTGAGATAGTTGTTGTTGTTGTGACGTAACATATAACACGATATCTGAGAAACCAGAATACTCGTGACTATGGAACATGTTACGCACATCTTCATCGTCTCGCACCTTTAATGGGAAAAATTTGCATTCAACATGGCCGCCAAAAAACACTGGGTTCTTATATATTATTTTCCCAACTGGACCACATTGCAATTTTTTTTCTATTCTTGACTTCAGGTGTAAAAAATTAGACCTTCTGTCAATTAAAAATCTTGTAACATCAGTGTTTCTGAAATTGTAACCGGATATTTCACATTCAAAAACTTCACCGTTAAGATGTGCGGAAATCATATATTGTGGTGTTTGAGACATGGCGAAAATTGTGTTTGGAAAGACTATATTTGAGTGTTTGACAGTTATAGAGTCTAAAGAGTTTAAGTGTTTGAGTTTAAAGAGTTTAAAGACTTTATTAAATAGTTGGAGTGTTTGAGTTTTTAAGAGTTTGACAGCATTCAGTGTTTGAGTGTTTGGAAATCTGTCCCGTGAATTGATTTCCTGCATGCAACATGCTTGATAAGACAGGACAGGGCAAGACTCTGCGTTTCACATGTGACCCTGCATGCAACATGCTTGATAAGACAGGACAGGG